CCTGTAGGAAAAACTGATGTAATGTTGGAGGAATATTAGCGTGCTGCCAGAGGCATAGGCCTAATGTATGAACTGGTGCGCTCCAGATTAGGACTTCCATAGCTTCACACATCTGATACAGATTCACTGTTAAACTGAAGGATGTAAAATATCCCTCCTGTCCCTCGGTGCTCTCACGCATTGTCCTTTTTAAACCCCCTTCTAGAAATCGGAGGCTGGATTTAGTCAAAAGCTCTATCATGCAAAGAAGAAGCCATATGTAAATAAGACCCAGAAACACTGCCATCTTCTCTTGGCCAAATCTTATTTAAAAAGGACTGAGGCAAAGTGGAAACTGTCCTGTGCAGCAGGATGGCTTCATAGTAGAATCTGAAAGCTTAACCGCACTGCCTGCAGTCCAGACCTGTCAGTCACAGCATCACAAACTGAAAAATACAACAAAGAACACCCAGGACTGTTGAGCAGCTAGAATCTTATATCAAAACAAAAATAGGACAATATTTCTCTCCCCAAAGTCCAGCAGCTGGTCTCTTCAGTTCCCAGATGTTTGCAGACTGTTGGGAAGAGGGGGATGCTACGCTGTGGTAAACATGGCCCTGTTCCATCAGTTTCATAATGACCTTATATGTTTCTTAAAATTCAACATTTTTTCAGTTTAAACATTTGATATGCTGGGTTTGTGAGATCTGCAAGACACTGCTTTTCCGTTTTTATTTACATTTCACTCAGACAACCGAGCCAAACTCCAGAATAACATAGTTCAACAACACATTACGAAGAAAGACATGAAGTTTATTGACAAGAATCATGATTTTTAAGGTTTCCAGATATTTTTAGCACAAACATCTCTGGTCATGTCTTGTTTTAATGTTGTTGCCTCTGCACTTTGATTTCAACCACAATTAAAGTGTTGCTACACTTTTTGCTGTCAGTCATCTGTTCCTGCTTTTTCAGGTGGATGACAGGATGCTACAGATCCTTGCCATGACCTCACCTGCTGATTTTGTGCTCCACCAATCATAAAAAAATGACCTTCAAACCGCCTCCAGCTTTTTAAACAGGGACAAGGTCACCGTGCAGCGTTTTGCACTGCCACCAGGGGTCGCCAAAGTCAATAAAATTTCAAGAAGATTTTAATAAACATTTAGAAGTTAGAACCTGCTGTGGAGCTTGTAATTAATTTTATGTGCTGTTCATGTTTAGTGATCATTTAAATTAAACTATAAGAATGGCACTTATGTGTTTTATTTTTATTTGCATGTTTTATTTATCCTTCCTTTTCATGCTGTCAACTGCTGCGGATCCCGTTCACAACAACTGGATCTTTTCCAAGAATTAGTCCATCTTTCTAGCGGCATTCCCAGGTCTGTGTGTGCATGAGTTATTACAGCTGTGAGACAATTATTTTCCAGTCTTTAAAAGGTTCATGGGTCTAATTTTCTTTTTCATGCTGACACAGCGGGTCTGTGTTGGCAAATTACCCTGGTTTCCACCGTGACGGGGGAAAAAAACCCCTGGAAGCCCTTCACCTTAAGTGCTGTGTAAGTCAGCATTAGTGAATGTGTACTGCCTGCACTATGCTTTCTTTATGATCAGCAAAATTATTCGCACTTTAATAAATTAGGCCTCAACCACATGAATCATGTATGTGCCGCTGGGAGCCAGGAATAAGTGTGCTCATCACTGACTGCGTTTGATGCATGTACTTTTGTTTTTGACAGTGCTTATGGTCACATTTCAGGCACTAAAGGCTGTTTACCATGAAGCTATGAACTTAACTAAAGCTGCAGATTTCACACAAACATCTGAGGGCATCACAACCACAAAGATGTGGTATTTCCTGTGCAGAAAGCTGAGAGGGAAATGTTTGAAGCCACAGTGGTAGCTATTATTATCATCACAGGAGGCATTTAGATGCACAGCACCCCACTATACCAATTCAAAGAAAAGTAACCCTACTTATTCGTAACTTCCAAATAAAGTTATTCAAAAGCAGGGAACCTGCTTCGACTTTCTTTTCCCCCCCATTCAGATCATTTAGTTTTCCAATGCAGAAATTAAGCACTTTTTCACTGCTTTATATTTGTAAACATCCATAAGTGTTAAATAGATTTGCTTGATTAATATAAAAAGTTTCTGCCTAAGCTTTCGATCAATTCTTTTCTACTGTACCTTCATTATCATTATTGGACTTTACTGATGCATATCTGGCTTGTAAGTGCTTCATATTTTTATTGATTTGTTTAAATATTGTTTCTAATAATGTCTGATTTCCTTTTTTCTAGATGTTATTTTACTTGACTGATTGATATCTTTCATGGATTTAAAGCTGTTCCATTTTCTTTTAGAAATACTGGCCAATCTGTTTGTGTAAGACCTTGATCTGGATGTTGACTGTGTAATAGCGGATGTTTACTGCTGTATGCACAACGGATGCACTGGGGGGAAATTCTTAACCGGTACTGATACGGGCATCTAGTTCAGGACAATTTCAGAACAAATTTACATCTGTTAATTCGAGTTTGGTGGAAAATGTAATCAAAAACAGAATGCTACTTGCGATTTGCATATCTCATAAACTCATATGTTATTCACAATAGAACATAGAAAACATATCAGATGTTTAATCAGCGAAAATTAACCATATTTTAAGAAAAATGTTGGCTTCTTTTGAAGTTGATGACAGCTACGTGTCTCAAAGAAGTTGGGTGCCATCAATAAAAGGCTGGAAAATGATGTTCTTGAACATAAAATTGTGAAGACTTTGAGTGTCTCATCCTCTACGGTGCATATTATCATTCAACAAATTGAGAGAGTCTGGAGAAATCTCTGTGCGCAAGGTACAGGGCTGCAAATCAGTAGTGGGGAAAAATGGATGTCTGCACGCTTCCAGTCCTCAGGCGGCACTGCATTCCATAACAGTGTGATGGAAATCACCGCATGGGCTCAGGAACACTTCCAGAAATCACTGTCTGTGAAAACAATTCACTCTGCTGTCCACTAATGCAGGTTAAAGCTCCATCATGAAGAGAGAAAGACAAATATAAACATGATCCAAAAACAGGCCCATTTTTTTGTGGTCTGATGAATTGACATTTGAAATTCTTTGTAGATCATTGTCCACCTGTTTAACAGCCTTCTTCATCTCTGATGTAATGCATGTTATGAGGGTGCATTGGTGCCTAGCAAATTGTGCACATCTGGAAAGGCATCATCAGTGCTAAAAGGTATACACAGGTTTTAGAGCAACATATGTTCGAATCCAGATAAATCTTTTTCAGGGAAGGTTTTGCATATTTCAGCACAACAATGATAAACTGCATTTATCATCTATTACAACAGCATGGCTTCATAGTAGAGGGATACAGGTGCTAAACCGACCTCCCTGTAGTCTTTAAATGTTGCAAAGATTTGTTGCATCATGATACAAAAATTGCGACAAAAGAAGACGCAGGAGTGTTGAGCAACTAGAATCCTAGACAAGACAAATATAGGAACACATTCCTCTCCCAGACGTCCAGCAGCTGGACTCCTCAGGTCCCAAATGTTTACGTCATGTTTTTAAAAGAAGAGGAGATCCTACACAGTGGTAAACATGGCTCTGTACCAACTTTTACAAGACATGCTGCTGCCACCAAATTCAAAAATATGTAACTTTTTTCTTTAAATGGTGTCTGTATCGTCACACATCGTCTCAACTTGTAGTTTGTCAGCATGGTCAAGCTTGCTAAGTGCAGTACAAGACCGTAAATAAAAGACCGGCCTACTGTAGCTTCTGGGTCTGAAAAGCTAATTCCATAAAACTTATTTTCTTTTAATGCCCTGAAGGGGGCAACTCTGAAAACTAAAAATTTTATTGTGGCACTTCTGGGAATTTATCAGCTGGTCTTCTTCATAGAAATACGGATGTTTATATCATACTAGATTGCAATCAATCCCTGATAATGTCTCACCGGCATTATCATGCAGTTTAACCGGAAAATAACAAGTGCTTAGACAGAACCTTCAGCATGTATGAACAGGCTTTTTTTTACACCGTATGTCGCAGCCAGTTTGGAGGAGAAGCAGAAATAAATGACTTGATTGCCAAACATCCTCTGCATGCCTTCATCAGCTGCCTGAGTGTCTGAGGCCTTGCTCGAGATTTTCCCCTGACAGCGAGCCTCTTTGTTTAAGACAAAAAGGGTGACAGCCAGACTGACGGACACACTGCTCATCTGTTGTGGCTTATTTGTGTCTGTTGCCACGGCAACCGTCCTGCTGTGATGGCAGAGGGAGAGAGACGATGGTGGCTGCTCTGCTTTTCAAGGGCAAAACTCTGGAAACCAAGCGGAAATGTGCGGCGAGCTGCAAAGACTCAAACCTCCCATCTAACCAGCGGCCTGGTCAAGGTTCAGGTGTCGATTCCTTTCAAAAGCCAGATACTAAAATGGAAACATTAATGCTGCTGGGATGAAGTCATAACTCACATTATCTTCCATTATCATAAAACGGAACAAAAACAGGAGGCTGATGGGTTATTCTTCTTGGCTTGACCTGATAATCAGTGCATCTGCACTGGGCATTTATTTTTAGCCGTGGGTAAGGCTTTACTTCATAGGTTGGGACAATGTTGATAATAAATCTCTCTTTAATGTGTCATCCTGTGGATTAGCAAGTTTTGTGGGTCCAGAAATAGACCTTTCATGGCATCGAGTTCCCACACGTGTTGTGTTTTCTGTCACACATTTTTAAAATGATATCATTTAGAGTGAGAAGTGCGAAGAAAAATACACAAGCTCATCACAATTGGACAGCTCCGCCTGCTGATGAAGATCATCTAATCCAAACAAAAGTTTATCATCGCGCAATAACTACTGCTGTGTATTGTATCTGGCTGTTACTGGCTTTTATTCCAATATGTTCTCCTTATTTTCCAACAGCTAGTTAGATCTCCATGCATAGGATCAATTAAAGTTTGCAGAGAGTCAATGAGCAAAAAACCAGCAAAAGAAGCGACACAAATTTTAAAAAGTGTTTAATCAGACTGACCGCCCTAATAAAAAGATGAGACCAGAGGACAGTCACTTCATAACATATAATGGGAATGCAAAAATCAGACGACAGAGTTCAAATTCATAAAATAAAAGAACACGCACACAAAATGTGTCTGAACGAGAGCACGGTTTGTTTGCTGGTTTTGATTGTGACTTCTGAGCATGCTGGCTTCTTCCATGTAGTTTCCAGGCAACATTTTCACTGCAGGGCCCCTGAACCTGACAGAGACGCCACGAAAAACACACGTCAGAAGGAGCAAAGTACAAGAAGGGATTTGCTTACTATCTTTGTGTATGAAAATGGCATGGAAACTATAGGAGACGAGCAAATGTAAGCAAATGAATGAAAGGACGATGGACGTGAATACCTATTTATTTATATGTGTGGCTCTCAGCTCCACCGCGTCCAAATCCTGGAAGGAAGAAAGACAGTGATTTTTAGAAAAAAGTGATTAAACATTGGTTAAATTGTTAAACATTGCAGGAATCTAAGACAGAGCAAATCCTTTCATTTGGTTTGAGAGTTTAAAGAGACGTTTAAATGTTTTACTGCATGTGCGATCAGCTGATAAGTGTGCTCTGATAGGACCATTTCTAGTCTACACAACACAGATGCAAAACATTATCCCCAATCAGGGCGCAGCTCCTGAGTCTCAGTACCAAAGGTGATTGCGTCTGTCTTTTATAGTTTTTTGATTGTGCTGTTCGAGAGGGGTCAGAGCGAGTTCAGTTATTGTGTGATCTGGATTATTCGAGCTGAATGCGCTTACCTTTAGGTCCGAACAGAGCAGCGTAGCAGGGTTTGTTACAGTAAGGCTTGCCTTCATGCTGTAAGAGGCAAACATGTGTCAAACCATCTGGAAACAGTAAAGCTGTTACTGTGCATGTCTGCATTGTGAGTGTATTTAGAAGGTGGTTTTAGTAAAGTAAAACACTTCAACGTTATGCAGATGTGATAAAACCGTGCACACAGGAGGTGAAACTACAGGATATTTTCATGTGATTTGACTATCTCACCTCTGCGTGTGAGCCTGGTGAAAGAGTCTTGCTGCACTTCTCACATCTTAGGCAGGGCCTGTGCCAGTCCTTTCCCAGTGATGTCACCTTCTCGGCTGCAAAGCACAAAAAAAATCAAATGTAATCACAGCGGACTCTAACTTATCCCCACAAACACACATAGTATCATCTGGAGAGGACACGGAAGCTTTCCACGATAACTTACTGGGCCGGTCACAATCTGAGGCGCATATGGGGTATATTAATAATAGGTATACATATTAATTCAGTGTCTGTTTGAAAGTTGGGTGTGGTACTCGAAGCCCGAAGTGTCCCTGAGAAGCGTCCCTCATAAACCCTGATATAGCCAGTTTTTAATCAGATTGTCAGGGCTGTTCTGCACAAAGATCCATCATAAGGACTGTAAACGTGGGAGGGAACCGTACTCAGCAGAGACCTATGTTTCATGTATGGAGAAGACAAGTCACATGCTGACATGTGGTCGAATTGCAGCCAAGAAACTGCTCAGGTTCAGCGAGGCAGACCTCCGAGCCATAGAGGGGTAACTGAAGACAAGATTAGCCTCTGCAGATTTTCTAAAAATTAAAAAGTGAGAAAGGACAGCGGATGCACGAAAGAATGAAACTGTCAAAATGTCAGGAAATGACCTATTTAGTTCCCAAGAATAGCCCGATGTGGCACGGGGTTATGCAACAGATGGTGGATGCAGGGTGGGGTCAGCCTCTCTCTCAGGCCAACTCATTGAAAATTTTTCAGCTGAATGTGGTGGACAAAAAAGTCCGACCCTGAAACAATGACCGTGCTTAACTTCAAATAACAAACCAATGCGCTGAGCAAACAGTGGCTTGACAGTGATGTAGGAGAATATAATGATGCACATTCACGCTCCCTTGATCGCGTATAAATCTGATAGTCTCATTGTTTTGTGCGACAGCTGCAGTATTTATTTTACCTCATAATATGACGTGAAATTAGGCGAGCCAGACAGAAGAATAACGAAGTTCGCTCTCAGCTTTGAATCTGCAGCTCGTTGGAGCAGGTCCAGCATACACAAACATGCAAATCTGAATGGAGAAACGTACCATGGGAGGGGAGACTCGCCCACTTTTACTTTCAAATAATTTCCCAAATTTGCAAGGACAGGCTGCTATGCTAAAAAAGGAGAAATAAACAGGGCGTTTTAAGCACTTAGAGTTATGAGAACTTTTTTCTGCACGTGTTTATAAAAGTACACTTATTTAGCGAGTTAGATGAGAAAGCAGATAACAGCCCGCATTTATTTCTGTCCAGAAAAAAATAACTAGCTGCTTAGCCGAGGCTCTGGCTGATTAAAAATATCCGTTATATGTGGGTAAATTAAACACACAAGACTCAATGTTAAGCTTTAAAGATGCACGCACAATCTCTACACATCCTAATCAACACACTGCCCTGCTCCCAACAGTGGTCCTGCAGCACAAAGCACGAGTGTCTGAAAAGTTTCCATCAACAGCAAAGTATTTGCTTCTTTTTTCTTTTGACTTGGACCTCCATCATTCAGGCAGGCAGCGGTAGCCTGATCGTTTCCATCTGAGAGCTTGCTGACGTTAAGATAGAAGAGCAGCAAAAGAGATGGAAAAAGATGCGAGGGGAGTGAAGTGCAATAAAGACAATCGCACACTGATGTGGAAAGGAGTGAGTCGGTTGTGCAGACAGTTCAAGACAACGAGAAGATTGTGAGCACACACAAAGAAGGCAAAGCTTTGTTCTAGCTTTCTTCTCCTTCGGCTGGATATAAACTTTTTCTTTTCGTACACTGGGGAAAAAAAAGAGGAAAAAAAACAAGCCATGTCTGACTAGCTTGTTCTGGCCAAAACAAATTGGTTTGCTTGTATTGGCCAAGAGGGAAGAGTTTATCCACGAGCAGGGAGAATGGAAAGTCACACGGACCATCCATCTGACTGACAGTCCAAAGACTCGTCTTTGTATTTTGCATTGGCCTCAGCTTCTATACATCTTCCCCAAGAGAAGATTTATCTGTTGCGCTACTGAGCAGGAGACAATGTGGTAAATGGATTAAGACACAAATAAACCTGAGCGAGCCCCCCTTTTTCCTCCCCGGATGCTGTAACTGGTCCCTGCTTTGAGAGCATTCTCACAAGATAGACGGAGGTGTATTTAAGCAGAGGAGAAACCTGTTTCCTTGGTCTAGTCATTATTCACGGAACTCATCCCTCATTAAGGAGGACAAACCACTTCCACCAGGAGCAAAGACCTCAAACTCTAAAGTAGTCTGACAGCAAGAAAGCTTCCAGAGTGCAGTGACCTGTTAAAACTGCTATTTATCTGTGTAACTATCTGATTACACTTAATTTATTATTTGTGATTGTCAAAACTTAAGTGTATTCAGTATAGATAATATTATGTATCACAGGTGTAAGCAATAATCTAATAATTCATCCTACTTCGTGCATACTTTGACTTCCTGTAAATTGCGTATTTTTGAGCAATTTAACTGCTTTTTTAACGCTAAACTCTTCCAAAAATACAAAACATGCACTATTTCTTATTTTCTAAACATTAGCAGGTTATTAATATACACCAAGAAAGCATTATATACAGGTTTACTATTTTGCCCCCCGTCTAATATGCAAGTGAAAGGCATGCGTCTCAGTCAGTCTGTCAGACTCTTGATTTCCTGTTTCGTCCTTTGTACAAAAAAGCCACCGGTTTTTAAAAACTAGAAAATCCCGGATGCTTCTCACAGTGTTAGTACACGAGTAAAATTGTAATAGAGAACTCAGATCTTACCGAAGTAAACTTCCTTCTCGCACTTTGGGCACTTCGGCATTTTTGTTGCAGCTGTGAGTGATAGTCTGGAGGAGAGAGCAAAGTCTTGATAAAGTTTCCTGCAGCTGTCACCGGCCCACCTGTTCGCTCTGACTGACCACGCCTGCTCTAAAGTGCAGATGTTGCCGCGCTCCGTGCTGCATTTATAGCGCAGAGGAAATAGTTCGACTGTGTTTTTTTCCTGCAGTGGGAGAGGCCTCAACCACGTTGTGTTGAAGAGACGTGTACGTGCAGAGCACATGACACGAGGAACCGAAATTAAAGAATGAGCTTGCTACACATAAAGTGCATTTCTTTTTGCACTATTATAAAACAAGGTTTTGCTTTGTCCCTGATTGTGAGCTGCAAATTGAGCATTTCTTCTTTTCAAGGTCACATGATGAAATCGATCAAAAGTTGCTCTGTTTTAATGTTGTATAATTAAATAAATATAATCATGTTAAATTGCTGTTCTCTTCTCCTTAAACTAATGAGCGATCAGTTAATTAGAGTGTAGCATTTCATAGGATGAATTATTTTAAAAACACACTGAATTATTCATCCCCAGAAAATCTTCTGTTCATATTTAAATCTTCATGTCCACTTAATCTCTCATCTCCCTCGTTTTAAAACTTTAAAAACAATGATTGTGTGACTTGTAACTCCTATAAGAAAGTATCAACAAAATGTTATCCTGAGGAATCTCCCACACCTGAGCTCCTTCTGTAAAAGGAGGGTAAAAGGGGCCTCCTCATTGTCATCATCATCGATCTGTTTGACACATGGCTATTCACTGCTGGCTGGCAAGTTAATCCACATGATGAATAATCCAAGTCGAGGTGCACACACCTGTGCACGAAGAGCTTTGTGTATTCAGGAGTGCAGGTTTTCTGTGGCCATCATAAAACGTATGTATGTACTCTTTGGAATTACTCTGAGCAAATAAGTGCCAAGTAGAGTCAAACACAATGTGTTTAAGCTAACAACACAAAAAATAATTACATGCTTTAAATGTAGACAGTGATTAAACTTTGAAAAACATTAGAAAAAGGAAGCGAATGCTTGGTCACAGTGAAAAAAAAAACAATTTCTAGACACTAAAGATCAGCTCTTATCTGCAGATCTGATGTCTGGTTCTTTTGAGGTTAGCCCCTTTCAGACTAAGCTTTGGGCTCTGACTAGGCTGCTCCAAAAGGCAGCTACTTCAGTGCCCTACTCCATCGCAAAACTTCTACCCAGCTTCAGATGCTGTCCAAAATGTCCAAAATTTATGCGCTTCGTCACGTTTTCCAAAATCATGCAATGTGCCGGGTTAGTCTCTGCTGGACTGATTCTGGCATCTGGGCCTTAAGTTTGACATGCTGACACATATGATACCTCAAAAAAACCTTTCCTTTGACTATGGTAAGACTCAAAGGCAGACAAATCTCCAAATTAACCAAAAACAATTATAATCAAGGGTTAAATCTCTGTGAAAAGAACATGTAAACATAAACAGAAAATGGCTTAAAATAATTTAATTAATTGGTGAAATTGAAACGTTTTCCACTCAAGCTGCAAGCTTATCTGAAGTAATCCAAACACACATGGATGTAAAGATAAGTAGCAATATTCGCTTTTATAAAATTAATAAAGTAAAAAATGATTTTAATTGAGTTTAAGTGATCAGTTTAACATGTTGCAAAAGGTTTGTGCACCTGCGTGCGGAGGTAGCTGCACGGCACCTGCTCTCTTGTTTTTATTGTTGGTTTTTATTCTTTTAAGAAGTCACTGTTGGCGTGAGATTGCATCACATTCATGACAATGTTCATGTCAGTTGACTCTCATGCTTGTTCTTTGCCGTAATCACCTCAGCAGAGGCCGATCACACCCAACCGAGGGCGACTTTTGACCTGATCAGAAAAGCCATTGTTGCATAACAATCCATATGTGCATGAGTGAGGACCTTAGCATGTTGTGCATACAGACACGCCTGTTGTCTGCCACAGCTGAAGGACTTCTCAAACCCTCTGAGGAGCTTATGGAAATTAGATCACTATGACAACCAAAACAAAACAAAAACAAAGCAAAAAAATCAGTTAAGATGTTACCTTTAGCTATATTTAGCGTTCACGAGGATAGCAGAGCTAATCAAGACGACAGTTTCACTAAGATCATTTGAAATTGCCCTAAACACAAGATCCAACCCATATCCCTCTAATGTTAGGTGTCAGGCATTAAATTATTTTCTTCTTCATCTGCAGGGAGCAGTGTTACTTAACAGCGGCGGGAAACATACCAAAACGAAGAGGGAGAAAAGAGAAATCCAACCTAACATGCTTCCATCAGTGCTAGCGGTGTGACTAATCAGGTCCTCGGCACTGCAAATTTGTGTGCACTGGGGGAAAATCAAACAATGCTGAAAAAAAAGAAGATCCAGTGCAGTATGGTTGAAATCTTGTTAGCTGTGGTTCACGGCGAAGGTTTAACCTGCAGGTTTGGCTAAATCGTTGGTGTGAGAAGATCGCCATGTAATTTTCTTCATGGGATGGTTTCCATTAAATTAGAGATGTAAGGCTGAAGCCTAATCTTCAATGATTAATTGGTGAACTAATCTCCCTGCCACCCAGGTAGCTGCAAGGGAGCGGTGTTATGGCTCAGTGGCCTGAGATCTGCTCCAGAGTCTGCTTGGGCTTCGTCCAGCCATTGAGGTTGATGAGTTGCTGCCTTGTAATTACACCAAAAAAAGAGATTAGTTCAACTCCCTTAAATAGGCAAGATTAAGGTGAAGGTTTTATGTTCTACATCACTAATCAAGCACAGTAATAACTCAAGAACCACATGAAGACAACAGTGCACACATGCACATCAGCCGGGTTGAGCTTTGTAGGCAGATGTGAGCTTCAGTTTGCAGCTTTTTAAGAGTTAAAGCTGTTTAGGGTGGCAGAATTGTTTGGACAAACTGGTTTTAGTTGGTTTGAGGTTATACCTTTGATGGAACTCTGCTGAATCAGGAATAATGGACTCCATTTTCAGCTTGGTGTAGTCACGAAATTCAAAAGTCTTCGGAGCCAAAAAGGATTAAAAGCTGCAGATGGCCACGTGAGGCTGGCTCCAAAACTGAGCCAGTCCCCATGATAAAATGGTGAAGTGTACAGCAGGAATTAATGTGCTTACAGCCCAATACAAATACAAACAAAGCTATTTTCCCCTTTCGTGACAAAAGCAAACAAAAGTTCTTTTCATCCTTCAAATTATATCGAAATTATTTTTATGCCTAAAGTTATGGATTGTCAAGTGCCAGCTAGACCTCTAGCTTCCTGGCTCCAAGAAATATAGGCAGTGTTGGGGAGTAACGGAATACATGTACCGCCGTTACGTATTTAGAATACAAAATATGAGTAACTGTATTCCGTTACAGTTACCGTTTAAAAAGGTGGTATTCAGAATACAGTTACTTTGTTGAAATAAATGGAATACACTGG